TAGCAAAGTTGGCATCTCCAGAAGGCCTACTACAAACTGTAGTTTACATGTTTTGCATTATAAGATGGTAACACTCTCACATAATTCATATTAACCAGACAAGTGGTTAAGACATCTACAGATGTCATGTGGTAGTGTGTATTGTAGTGGCCTTGACATCTATACACTCCATGCTGTTTTTAACTATTCTGTTGTAGATATGCCAGTCAGCAGTAAAAACTTGTACACTGTGCTTGCAGAAAGTTCTAGCTACTTCAGAGTGTGACAGAAAAGTTGCTGATTGCTTGACAGCTGTCCTGGGTTCAAGTTCTTTTGACTAAACATTATGGAAGGTCCTAGCAAGATCTGTGTCAGTGATGAAGAGGTGCTTTATGAACTGTTACAAGAGAATGACTACAGCAGTGACAGTGAAATAAATGTGAAAATTTCATTAGGTGGTGAACAAAGTGTCAGCTCTCGTGAAGCAGAAAATGTGAGTGACAGCACTACCATGCAACCTGATGTATGGGAAAATTCAGGTGCTCACCGATCACTTTTCCATTTACTAGCAAGCCCGGCATAAATGTTGATTTAGAAGATCCCAGTAACCCCCTTGAATATTTTGAGTTCTTTTGTAAACTAGACACCATGGAAGTAATAGCCAGAGAAACAAATCGGTACGCCCAAAAATCTTTAAAAAAAAACGCCTAATCTAAAACTAAAATCTAGACACATTGCTGTTGTGGTATTGAAAACGACATAATTATGAAGTATTCACAGTATCTGCCACTTGAGTTGCACCAATGTTTCCTGTGGTATAAACGTTTTAGTGATGATTTCATAGTCTGTAAAAGATAATTATTTTGCAGTGATGTTTGGAAGAACATTTCAGTTCATTCATCCATACTAGCCTTGAGCTTGCAAAGGAAATGCAATTTTTAAGCCCACATGGCAATAAGAAACTCTGTTTATCAAAGAGGTTCACACAGTGTCACCAGACAGATTTGTCAGCCGACTATTATGATCTATGATTGTGTTTCAGTTCTAAACATCAGGTGTCAGTCAAAAACGTGTATATTGAATGTGCAGGACTCAGGCATATGTGTAAGATCACGTAGTCTGAATGGAAATGAAAGTCAGTGGCAACAGTGGCAGATTTTTTGAGAATAAAGCCAAATGTATAAAATGTTACTAATATATATATATAAACTTTAATGTAATGGCTATAGAAATGAAAATAGAGGTATGTGAAATCTGATAATTGGTCTTTTAGTGTTTTTTCAATAATTTTATAATGACATAATTAAGATACTGTATTTTAAAAAGGGAGCAAACATTATAAAATTTAATGTGCCACTGTGGGTTAGATAAGAACACAAAAAAGAACCACTTGACTGGTTAATATGACTTACCATAAAAAACTGTAAAATTAAATGGTATATAAGTTGTTACGAGTGCTGAGGTGAGCGAGAAGTCTTGCATTTAAATATTTGGCTGCATCTTTAAGTATGCTTAAATAAAAGTAAATTAGAGATGACTTAATGAGAATGGCCAATTTTACAAAACTGTCAACCCTGGATTCTGAAACACTAAATATTAGCATATTATCATGAACTAGAAACTCCTGTAACAGCCCTGAACTTCAACGAGAGATGCTAATGGTGCAGTTGGTTACTGGAGATAAATTCTAATTTTTGTAGCTAGAATACCTAAGATTTAAAGTATCCAAATTCTTCTCTTGCTACCTATCTTGAGTCTGTAAGTCTTCATAACATTTACATTAAAAGGTTTAATAACTTTTGTCATTAAATCCCCTTCTGCACCTCAAAACATATTATTTCAAACATATACAAGCATACAAATTTAAACTCTTTTAAACATTAATTTTAAGAGATACTGGGTTTTCGGACTTTGTCCATTGTCCAGATTCTAAATAAGTAAGAAAAAACACAACATCCTGGAAACTGGATCTGTTTCTGTCCTCAGGTGAGGGAAGACACCTACTCTCGTCTGGTCCAATGACTGAGGCTAGCTCTTTCTAAGGGACCCTCACCTCAGGATGGAAACAGATCCAGTTTCCGAAACGTTGTGTTTTTTCTTAGGTATTTAGAATCCAGATGATGGACAAAGTCCAAAAACCCAGTATCTCTGTGTGTTATACACCACTGTCAGAACCCTACAGTATCTAATTAATTTTAAGATTTTCAACCAATTAGTATTTAATATGCTATTTTTAAAAATTTACTTGGTACTTCAAATAAAAATATACTTCTGATCTACTGGAAACAGATGCAGATTTATTACTATAACTAGCACGGTTAAAATATCTCACATAAGCTGATTCCAGAAATCCAAATTTTTTTGCTTCTTCTCTGGCTGAATTTTGGTTCTACTAACTCAACTTGTTGTCCTTCACCCACGTGTTAGGCATGTGAGGGATGATGGATGTGTGAAAGTCAACAGACAGTGGTACAAGCTCGCTTCCTTTCTCTCTCACATACATTCATTCCTTCTCTGATAAAAATTTTGTGCCAACCAAAAGACAATCATATCATACCTTCCCTCCCCCTCCCAGGTGCTGGCATGAAAACACAAGGATGCTCTGTAATACGCAGTTCTTCACTAAAACTACAACACATACAGTTTCATCCAAACAATAGCATCTCATGTACAATCACAGCACTATCGAGCAAACTGGTTCAAAAGGTAACATTTCTAATTTGCATCTGAATCTTAGTGAAGACACCAACTACCACGACTGAGCATTTCCATGGTTTTCCTCAGTCCCACCAGGATAATACCTCAAATTAGACCAGGATAATTCCATGTCTTTTTTCAATTAATTATTCATTACAACCCAATCACTGTGTGGTACACAATATGAGTTACACTGTCATAAATAATCTACCATGTAAGCAGATATCCAAAACCATTAAATATGTTGCACTATCAGTACTTCTGGTTTCCATCATGTTCCCTAGGACAGTGCTTCCCAACCTACCTTATGCAAACCACCTGTGTCCTAGAATATTCTGTGGGTAGTCTATCAAGGGTAGTTTTCTTTACCCTCATCTTATGTCTTGCTGTATTTTCATCATCATTCTCTTTAATTACAAAGTTTGTTTATGGAGGAATTTCATATTTCTGGACTTTTCATGTGCAAGTATTGGAAATAATTCTGGCATTAATTTTAATAAAACAAGGTTGATCCTTAAGCAGGCAAAAACATGTAGAACACATTATAAAACAGCTAAATAAAATATATAACCAAATAAATATTTTTGTTAAACACAGATAACATAAGTAGGTAAGTGTAGTAAATAACATGGTCTTCAGGAGCAAAGAAGGGTTGTTCAGGTGGTCTGTGGAATTAGAGCCCTAAGGCTTTAAATTCGTTCATAGCCTGAGTACTTTGTTGTTCTGCACCTAATTATGGCTACTTCATCATTAAATCTCTACAATCCTCAGTGGGGGGATTTTCATCTAGATATTTTGGGGGATGAAGACAACAGTACTTTGGAAATTAATTCAAAGACTTTCTGAAGGTAATACATGAAATACATTGCTTGAATAAGACAATAACCTGAATATCTATAACAAAAACCATAACTATGCACTTCTATATGAGTAAGGTAACAATCTAACTACACTATTCATATAAGAACGTAAGTCTGACACCACAGGAAACACATCAGCAGTTTCACTCATTCAAATTGTCCCACAGCAATCTTCCTTTTAAAGATATTCAACAATACAGTACTGCACTACAGTTATGGTTCTGCATCATAGATTATGATAAGACTAACAATATATCAGTATTTCAATAAAACAATGTCTACCACTCTCTCCAATTTAAGAAATACTTAAAATTTCGTTCACAATTTCCAACCTACACTGGAGAACAGTGACTTATGAAAAATAATGGTATCTATTACATCTTCAATAACAGAACTGGAAGGGTGAATTCCAGCAGAGCACAAATATTTTGCACAGTACTCTCTGTGACTGCATAGTTCACTACTGCAGACATAAATCTCTTGTAACAAAACTAATCACACTAAAGATACCAAATTGCATTGAACTAGACATTATTTTCCTTGTCTTCTGTTAAATATTCATCATACCAATAAAAGTTGAAATAAAAATTGTAGATTTTAATGAGTTCTATATTTTATGTCAAGTATAACAATCTCATGTATAAAAAGCTATTTTTGAAAGGAAAGGATTGTTTTGGCTTATACTTCTGATATGAATTCTGAATTAAACCTGTGTGGCAACATCTAGTGCAGACAACCAGCACCATCTACCATTACGCTCATACATCACAAATCTGACTGGTTTGCCCCTATACTATTTAATAAGAGACAAGGCCATCCCTGAACTATAATTCCATGCCACGAAGGTGTATTAGGTTTGTTCAGAAGACAGTCAGTTACAATACCAAGCTACCCCACTCATCTTATAACAGTAGAAGATAAAATTTAATTCTCATATATACGTCAAATATAGTTCTTTCCCATAACTGAAAAGAAACAATATAAAATGTCACTCTAATAATTTTCATATAAAAGAAACAACAGAAAATAAATCTGAGGCGCTACTCTTGTACACTCTCAGTGACATGTGAAATTGAAAATTCTGTTCATGGGATTATTTCAAAATATAACTCTTTCATAATTTACAAACCAAGTTTGTGTTAGCAGATGCATCATGATCATTAATGAAAGCGGCACAGAATTTATGCATTCTCCAAATCCATGTATCTTGACCTGCTTTCTTTATTGCAATTAGAAGCAATGTATATAGAATATTAAATATGACAGATGGCTATGGGACACACTGAATCTATAAATACATGCAGGAAGAAAAATGATCCCTCATAGCAACACAAAGGAAGAAACATAAGCATCCATTAACAAAACAAATGAATGAGGTGTTGCAGCCATTAACATTATAATCTTGACACTTCATTTATGTTTCGAAATATGCAGCTATTAAATCGATTATCATAATAAACTTACTTGTTTTGGGTGTGAGATACACGGAGATGGCCGTGATGGGGTCATTTGAAGGATCACGGTAAAGTTCCGTAACTAGCAAATCATTATCTTTCATGCGAAGTGGAAATTTCTGCATATCTGGAGGACAAAGAACAATGACCTTGAACTTAAATAACAAATGAATATGTCAAAAGTGACCTTAAAAACAACAATTTACAAGTAGAATACTGTCACATCAAATCTTGCACAACAGTCAGGGCTATTGTTAACGTATCTGCATGAAACTGATTTCTTCTTTTACTACTTTCAGTTTCAAAATATATGGAGTTATGCTGTAATGAATATCTAACCAATAATCACTGTGAACTACCCACCCCCTTACACACTCATTACATAGAACACCCCAAGACATCTACACCCAGTTTTACCTCTCATATGTATACTGCTCATTTTATTATAACTTGTTAATTATTTTATAAAGCTGGGGCTCGTCTTCCCAGAATTCCAATTTTATAATTTCTCAGAATTACTGGGTTTTTGGGCTCTGCACTTCTGCTTTCTTTTCTAATACAAACTCCGTGACTTGTAGTCCAGAAGCAAACTATACCGACTGCCGCTTGTCAGCGAAGTTAGTGGCAACTTTTGCGGATAGAGGATGCCACGTGGTCAGCGCAACGAATCCTCATGACCGTTAATTTGGGTTTTCTATACTGGAGCCGCTATTTCCTTGAAATGGCTCCTCAATTATCCTCACGAGGCTGAGTGGACCCCATTCCAGACCCACTACTTCTCAGAAAATCTGGTAGTGCCAGAAATCGAAGCCAGTACATCTGGATCTGTAGCCAGGAACTCATACCACAGAGGCAGTCTCTTTTCTAATACATCTTAACTATTTTAACAAGTATAAAATTTGGAAAAAAAAAAGTTAAAAGTTTCAAGAGAATGCTCTGGCCATTTTATTCCCTGGTAAAGCGCATGAGATACCCAGTGTGCAGAAGATTCAGCTACCTACCTATATAATATATGGCACCATTATTACAGCCAAGTAACAGAAATGAGCCAGCTGTGTCAAATGATGCAATAGGCACAACATCTTGGATCTGCCAGTGTTGTGTCATTGCATGCCAAACTCCTATCTTCCCTGTGGGTGACAATGCTACCAACTGACTTCCAATGAAGAACAAATACTCCACTCTCACATGCAAGTTGAAGGTTCCTGGAGAGAAAAAAATTACATGTAACATCTTCAATATTATAACATCACAATCCAACCATACCATATTGACTAATCCCTGAAACTGATTAAATTTTTTATATCCCACTTAACTAATAGGATTATGTAAACTTGCAAACTCATGTGCAAGAAGTCTCTCAGGGACCAGACAGAGACCATCGTAAACCTTGGGAGTCAGTTTCCTACAAGGACGTTCTGCTAGAAGAACCAAGGAACTGTTAAAACTAAACAGAAACCAGTTACAGTGGGTGACAGGACTACTTACATGACACTGTCACTTGAAAGGACACCTTTTCAAAATGCGATCAATGAACAATCCCATTTGCAAAAGATTTTGGGGAAAAGATGAATCAGTTGTACATATCCAATGTGATTGTGAAGCTACAGCTAAAATAATATTTCATCACCCGGGTCAATGCTTTATGGAGAATGGCGACGACCAAGACGCACCTTTAAATAGGATACTACATTACTAATTACAAAAGGTTAATCAAATGAAAGATTCTATACTTTTTTAACTTTATTCACTCTGGTCCGTCACAAAAGTAAATTAAATTACAGAATAATTACTAACACCATCTAGTGTGTTTCAATTTGTAGATATTAATTGCCTTTACATGATTCGGTCAGCTTACCATCTTCAGAAGAATTAAGATCAACATGTTCAGGAACTACATAACTCTGATTAGATGGTAGAGCAACTCACCTATATTAGTCCTAGTTCCATCCTCAGACACCCCCCATAATCGAACCTGGCTACCATATGAGATGGCCACCATTTTCGACGAGGCTTCCCCACCACCTCCTTGTGCCATCTTGGCATTGATGGCTATCCTCTCAATGCAGCTTTCAATACGAGGACTGGTAAATGCATGCTGCCAGCCACTTGAATCTTTTAACCTACAAATAACACGTCCAGATATCAATTTCTTTCAACTTTTAAATTAATGATTGCTATTCTTATGGAAATTAATAAGGGTAAAGGTAATAATGGCCGGCCACGGTAGCTGAGCGGTCTAAGGCATGTACTGTCTTCGCTCGCTTGAAAACCGGGATCGTGGGTTCGAATCCCACTCAGGGCATGGATGTTTAGTTTGTGTGTGTGCGTTTTTCTGTGTTTGTGTACAGGTAGAGGCCTTGTGACGAGCTGATCACCCGCCCAAGGAGTCCTACCGAATGTAATTTAGAAAAACCGAAGTGAACGGAGAAGTTCATGGAGGTAGGCCTAGACCCACTGGGGCTGTAGTGCCAAGGAAAAAAAAAAGGTAATAATGAAATATACAATTAATCATGTAACTCATTATTCACCAAATAGTTAATTGTGCAATTTAAACTCCTCTGAAGGAGAAGTAAAAAAGGGTAAGGCTATCCATGTAACAGGCCATGGCGGCATATAAGGATGTGAGACACTGGGACTCCCACATTTTCTATACAATCAGCTAACAGATGGTGGTGAGGTTGTCAACCCCATGCGCCGGCTGCACTGTACCCCAGGAAGATTCCTGATACTCATTTCTGTCAGAGGCTGAGTTGACCCCAGGTCCATAGTGCAGTTGGAACGATTAGGTCAAATGAAAATCCAATGACCTCTTTCAGAATCGCAGCCGCAACCCTCCAGCTTGCAGCACAGTGCCTCAACCAACTACACTACTGCACTTCCAGAACTCTGTAGCACAACACAATAGTTTAACACTGCTAATACCAAAGACTGTCATAGGATACAGCCCATCCACCTCTCACCAACTTCTTGGTCTTACATGTGGACACTCCCCAACCAAAATTCTGTAGGGATTCCTCATCTCCCCATTCTAGTCACATGCCCAGCTCATGGCAAGCAACCTCCTAGATTTCATTATCATAACAAAACTAGGTGACCTGTATAAATCACAAACGTCATAGCTACATACAACCCTAACACCTTAGATCAAAACACTATCCTGACAACTAGCTTTCAGGTACTTGCAATTTACATTCCTCCCTCAAAGGAAATTATATTTTACACTTACAGAAAACAAATGGTAAAATTACTGTCTCGGAAAGCGTGGATGACAAATTAGCATATCTCAATTGGATTTTCTGAGACAAGAACAAACAAAACTATAAACTCACCTATAGCAAGCTACAAAATGGGCATAAGCTACAGCTATCCAATTGTGATGCGCCTTCACAATCTGAACTCTCAGTGGATCTGTCCAGCTTGATCCTATTGGGCGAAAATGCAAACAACTAATTACAAGTATGTTGGATTTGAGGTTCTCATGACAGTGACTATGGTAGGTTACGTCTTCTGGGATACAACATCATGTAGTCAGGCGAAAGTATACTGACATTTCACCTCCACCTTCATAGACAAAGAGTAGGCCAAATAAGAAACCATCATTATGCAGGCAGCAAGCAAAGCTCTACTTTTCTTGACTGGCTTACTCTTCAATCCTGAAGATGGAGGTAACATGTTCCTTGAAAACATTGGTTCACTTCTATCTGACTACATAACACTACATCTCAAAAGACAGAACTCTTCAAGTAATTATAAAACAACAACTATTTCCTTGTTAGTGATTTCTGTTTCAAGCAAATAAGTGAATATCCACAATATGATAAATTAGATGGAACTTCAAATCTATAGAAACAAACTGAATAAGCAAAATGAGCAGAGTTCTTTTACTGACTTTATTCATAACTATATAAAATTTGAAATGTAGCAACTGCTTCATCCATTACAGAGTACTACAATTGGACATATTTTCAAATATGCTACAAAAATTTGAGCTTAAGTCCTACCTTGGTGAGCCCCAAATATCAGACCCACATCATTACGGAAAAGTTTATTGAGGTCTGCTGAAGAGTTGCGTGTATGACGAAGATCTAAGGAAGCTGCTCTAGAATGACCAACAGCTGATCGCCCAGCCATATTACGGATATCAGTTGAACTCCGGGAAGCTACTGCTGCACAACCATTGGATGAAACCCGAAGATCCAGGGAAGAGTTTCGGGAGTGGCCTGGTACAGATCTTTGGGGAGGCTGTGGATGCGTGCCATGAGTATGTGCACCAGGTAATAAAATCCCACTGTTATTAGCTGTTGGTAACATAGAATTAACAGATAAAACAGCTGACACAGGGGGGGCAGAACATGGTGGCGTGACTATAGGTGTGGCAGGAACTGAAAGGGGTAGAGAAGCAGGCAACTGGGGAGACACAGCCACCATTGTAGTGACAGATGATGATGAAGATGATGCTGATGATGATGCTGGAGCTGTATTCACTGTGGCACTGCAACCAGTAGATGCCACTGATGCAGTATTGGCATCTGCTGGAACACGGATAATAGAGCCAGGACGAGCTGCCGCATGAACAGCTGCAGAGCTGTCACCTGGTGGTGAGCATGAACACACCACACCAGGGTCCTGCACTGGTATACCTGTTACAAAATTAACAAATTTTATGAGCTATGAACAGCTCTATCTTCTGGGTGATAATGCTATCCAGCCTCTTGAAAGTCAACTGATGTTTCTGAGGAACATGTTGCCTCCATCTTTAGGGTTGAAGAGTACTTACTCTTCAACCCTAAAGATGGAGGATACATATTCCTTTCAAACATCAGTTAACTTTCAACAGACTACATGGTGTTATATTCCAGAAGATGGAATTCTTCATAAAAACTGTTGTGAGAACTTCCAATCCTATGTTTTATGAGCTACACCATCACAGGTAAACTAATGTCGGTATATCTCTATAATACAGTGAATACTTAATTTTGTCTCATTTACTTGCACGATAGCTTCAAACAGTTACATCATTCATGATCAGAAGTCTGTAGGTGTATTACTGAAAAAAAAAATTGAATTAATTGTATCAAACAAAATATTTGGAAAAACTGACTGCAGTTGGCATCGAGTTGCTGCAAGCTAAACGTGCTCAAATACGATATATGGTCACCATATTGTAAAATTCTTCCCTTATGCTAAATGAGTAAAGATGAATGCCTTATATTGAGAGCATGACTGTCCACCTACCCATGACTTAGTATCAGTGCCCAAACCATAAGGCATATTTTTCTAAAACTCAACATGAGAGACTTGCTCAGAAAGATCCAGTTTTCAGCAATACTGACCCATAACAAAGCCCTCTATAATACATTCCACATATATCACATAAACTGGCAATAAAATTTTAGTGACATTTGATATGAAAGATCTTTGCATGATGTTTGTTGGCCATCTTATTTTGTGCCAAACTGACCCTATTTTACAAAGTGTTTCATAGATTCTGTTGAAATGTGATACTGCCCATTAGTATGCAACAAAAATATGATTTCTGATTGTTTTATCTACTATATATGTGGAAATGTCATATATAAACCACGAGCAAGAAAGCTAGCTTAATCAACCAATAAAAAAATTCCACTGAGAATTTCTTGTATTACATAACTGAGTGTAAAATCTAAGAAGTACTCATGGCTAAAGCAGTTATAAGCCACAATTAAGTTAATTTTAGTGAAGTCAAACAGAGAATATCACACAACCACTTTAAGGTACCCACCATTACGCACATCACGATTTGGATGAGTTCTATATCTACTGGCTATTTCAACCTTGTAAGGATTTTATGGAATGTGAATAAATGAATGAATGAACTGACCTCGGGGCTTCTTAGATTATTTACATATACTTTAAAAATTACATTAGACACCTATATAACAATAAATGACCTGTAAACATGATCATGAATTCTAACTTGGTACAGATTTGGAAATAGACAGTCATTGCCATAATCCCAGAATTCACCTGGGGATATCAAAAACCACAGACACTTTATAGCAGGGCAGTCAGCAGCACTCTCATTCAAGGTAGTCCTGAATATAAGTCTTAAGAGCATTATAGTTATTCTGATTACTTTGTGGCTTATCAGAATCATTTATGGACTGACATTATGAGTTTCATTAAGCACTGGACCACAAGTGGTTAACATTTTTCTCTCAAACCACACTTTATACAGCAAAAATATACATACTTGGAGGTGGAAGGTACCCATAAAACAAAACATCACCGCATGATGACTGACTTAAATCTTCACACAACATCAATCTTTTCACCAGGGGAGCAATCGCATAATATTCTGCTTCATGTCGAAATGCACGTATATCTACACTTAAGTCAATATCCCTCGTTCTTAAATAATTCAAAATTGTTGCAAAAAGTTTAGGATCTCGGTCTATGAATATGGCTCCCATTTCATCTCGCAAACTTGATATTCTGCCGCTAAGCAGAGCCGTAAAGAATGAATCCGGAACCCACATCAACGTGTGGCGAGAAGTTGAAAATCTGGAACAGAAAAAACAAATTACTGTCCCATTCGTTTAAAGCTTAATTATATAAGCGCACACATTACAAGCTTTTTTATACAAAACCATGTCTCTAACTGTTTCATGTATCACAGACAAAATGGAAATTTACGAAAATAGGTCTAATGTTATGAGAATTTCTAATTCTGCATAAAGACTACAGGCACGTTACCATTATTTCCTAATTCCTATCAAAACAGATACAGTAGGAACAATATTAAACCTTCCATACCTTGTTCCGCCAACATTTAGATGAACAATATCGCCACTATGTGTTGGATGGAACGCTGCCATAATTATTTACATGCAGCCAAGTTCATTAAATAGTTCGATAAATCAAACCAATTCAATTTATACGGCGTTATGTACACACACAGATATGGTGACGTACGGTGACAATTCCCTGTTCCCTGTCGTCCTTGTCGTGGAAATAATTTCAACTATCGATTAATTACAAACACAATCGAATGAGTGGTATCGAATAATTCGAATAATTTAAAATCCAATGGAATTTATCTCCCGATTTTATATTACAGCGTTCTATTTGCGCAAAAATTACAAATGATGGCTATATACTGTCACACAGAATTTACTGCTACTTGATACAGTCCCTTTCGACCCTTCCACGACATGACCATTACCAGATGCAAATCGTTCGGAGCGGTCCGGAGGGTCCGGAGCCCGGGGTAACTTATGGTTTCTATGCATTCTATGAAAAATTCGATAGCTACCTGAGAGTGATCGATACAAATTTGACATTCGTGTTGTCATGGCAACTGTTGCGCCTAAATCTATAAACAAATTCTTGTTCATTTTTTTAAATAGTTGTTCATCGTGTCCTCATTATGTTTATTCAGAATGTGCAGATCAAGGATGGAGAATATACAAAGACGATTTATACGATGGTAATAATAATATTGTGTAGATTCTAAAGGGTTCTGACGATGGGGTATAACGTACAGAATTGCTGGGGTTTTGAACTTTTTCCATCGTCCGGTATTCTAGAAAACTGAAAACACAACGTTTCGGAAATTGGATGTTTCCGAAACAGCGTGTTTTCTATTTTCCAGAATACCGGACATTGGAAAAAGTAAAAAAAAAATCCAGTAATTCTGTGAGTAAAATTCTTGTCTATTTGGAGATTATCAGTCGTTTCTAACTGAAGTAGACGGGGCTTTATGTTCAAATTATGTTGTTCTGGATTGCGACACCGTGTCGTGCGATGTTTTCGAGGAACATGCTGCCGGCATCTTCAAGGTTGAACTTCAAGTCAGTGGAATGAATTGTTCTCTTTGCCCGTAAAAGTGCTTCAACAGTAGAGTTTCTTTATTCAATTTACTGTATTTTAAATTTAATTTAAGATTCATGTATAATGAAAATGAAGCTCTCATAGACTTTCCTTTAAACAGAATAATATATTCATTTGCATAGTTTAAACTTTGATCAGAGCTGTAGTTTGAGTGAGGGACACACAAAATGGATACACAGTTTAATTGGATACCCCTAAGAATGTGGTTACCAGGAAGACAAAGAAGGAGATGTGAGGATAATGTCAAGATGGATTTATTGAAACAGGTTTTTCAAAATGACAGGTAGATCAACTGGTTCCATAATAATAGATGTATTTTTTAATTTACTTTCAGATAAAAGAACAGCGATACAATGATGCAATACAAGTATTAACCAATGTACTGGAAACAAATCAACCAGTAAGTTGAAATACATGTTTTAAATATATTATACAATGTAATCATAAGAACCCTAACATTGTTTCAGAAAATATTAGATTATGTTCTGTACTGATTATATGTGAGAAAGAAACATGGCATGTTGGCATGTTTGGCGAGATGCTGTGGAACACTTGTTTTATGTTTCAGTGTTATTTCAGAACAGGTTGTAAGGCAAATATTTTAGGACATTGTATTTGAATATAAATTATGTATTATGTTTCAGTCAAGAGCAGGCCTTTCTCTCCTGGCCTACTGCTACTTCTATACTCAGGACTTCATAAAAGCAGCTGACTGCTATGAGAAACTCACCCTTCTTCTCCCTGAAGAAGCTGAGTATCGCCTTTACTATGCTCAGTCTCTGTACCAGGCTTGTATGTATGAGGAAGCATTGAAAGTTACTTCCCAGATTGATGATCCAGCTTTTCAAGGAAAGGTAATTACACTAGAACCTGCTGGTTATAAAAAACAAAGACAATATTATAATGATAGGATCTGTTTTATTTTTACTATGTGTATACATCATTCTACCCCTTATGTACATACACAGGTGGTAGTTCTGTTTGAAACTGTACCATTTAAAGGAGAGAGATATAACTTATTTCATTGTCTTAAAGGGGAAAGGAGGGAAGTAGATAAAGGTGTAGGAGGGATAAAGGAAAGGAAGAAAGGGGTGAAGGATGAAGGTGTGACAGAAGTAACTCCCCACTGAATTTCATCAATCCTTTTCCATAAGTTTATATATATATATTGCACCATAATCAATATCCAGATTTCTAGTATAAAGATGATACTTAGAAAATATTGTTATGTGAGTGAGTGACTCTGAGTGGGTTTCTGGATTGGCTATTGAATTTATTGACCACTTTATGTACTACCCTTGTAATTACACTTAATTATAGTGTTGTCACTGATTCCCATACATTACAAATCACAACAGCACGCACTAAGTTATTGCCAGCCTCAGTGTCTTCACTAGTAGTTGCCTGGTAACAGCTCCAACGATGGCTGTTCCTGTGCTTGCATGCTGAATTCCTCTCTGAATAGTGGCTTCCTTCCCGCTGAACTCAGTCTTCACTTCATCCCGCTTATAACTCCTTGGCACAGACCACAGTATTAAACACCATTTACATCAGTACCTCTGTTGTTGTGTGCTGATTTGTTGCTGTGGAGATGCTGCTCAAATTGTTTCCGTGGGAACATGTTCTGTTTGGGAAGCATGTTACACAATAACGGCTCTGGTACATTCGCTTATCTCATTGTTGTTGCCTAGAAGTAAATGTTGTTTCAGAGCTGTTCACTAGCAATGGCTGTTTCTCTGGCTCCACAGTTCTTGCTTGGAGCAAATATGCCACAGGACCCCATTTGTTTATGTTCATTGCCTAGAAACAGCACTGTAGATGTGAGCTATCATCATCATTGTCAGTCTTATTATTATGGTTATTGTTGGTTGCCACTGCTGATGTTGTTAACCTTTATCCTCTCAACAATGAGGAAAAATGTATTTTTATGCACTGCTGTTGGAATGTCTATAAATTTAGCACTCTACATAAAAGCAATAACAAGTTCTTTTATTGCATTCATTTTTTTCATAGCATTGCTGCTTATTTTTCTGTGTGTACATATTTAAATTATTATTACTTTTATCTGTTTAGTCACTGTATAGTTGACATAGGAGGAAATAGGTGGAAAGTTACTGCCAATGTATGACATGAGAAAAGTTGGACCAGAATGTAGTAATGTAAAGGCTCAATGTAAATGTATTCTTGTCATTGTATAAAATAGTATTGCTTTAGATGAGCAGGCAGGCATTTTTGAGCCCTGATCACCATCGTCACCACTACCACTGCCGCCACCCCTTCTGCCACCCCCACCACCATCATCTTCATCATTATTACCAATGTTGAGCCTAACAGGCATGTTGTCATTGTGTTTATGTTGGTTTTATACCACTCAAAAACCCCTCTAAAGATTTACTTATGCATTTTTGTCTGCTTTTTTTTATACCATTTGCTGAATGTCCCAATGTAGAACACACTAAAAAGTGATTGTGTCCATTACTTTAAATGTCTCCGTAATAAGAATACTTTATAATATCTGAAAATGTATATTTCCCTTGTACCTATCCTCTCTGCAAATAGATCACAAAACTAAAAGCAGCTATAAAGTATGGAGAGGAAGACTTGGCTGGGGCAAAGAGTCTTGTAGATAGCAGTCCAGAGGATGATCCGGACACTGAAATCAACCATGGCTGTCTTTTATACAAGGTAAGTTTCCTTGAAATCAATGTTTTCATGGTGATTTGAATGCTTATGGAATATTAATTATTTCTGTTACAGTACTTACAGGAAGACATAGGGATTTTGTTTCTGGAGCCATCTTCCACACAGTGCCACTAGAGTCGACAAATTAAGGTTTATCTCTTTAACTTAAATATAGAGAACTCAGCAATTCAATAAGGGGAGCTAAGCTCATACGCATTTAACAATGACCAAGAGAAACAGTAACAGCATAATTCACTGTATATATTCTTCACCAGTAGATTTCTTTGTCATTTGTTGGTCATAATGTTTTAGATGCTTTATATGTTTTGTTCATGATTGGAATTCAGTCCTGGCCATATAATGTGAAGCTTATTACCATACCAACTGAGCTCATACTAGACATAAAAGGAAGATAATAATACAACTTTAAAAGTTCCTGGAGGCCTTATATAAATCATGAGAAAAAAATGTATTGTAGGAAAAGTAATACAAGGTATATTTATTTTTAATTTAAATCTATTTCTTTTTGCATGTGCCCATGAGAATATTGTCCTTCTGCATCACCTGTTACACTGTTGATAAATTTGGGCCACTAGTGAAGCGTTATTTTCAAGCATTTGAACTTCTTAAATGTCCTTATTACATGAAATATGAGGTTCACAATACAGTGAATATGAAGATTGCTGTCTTCTGGGATGTGGTACCATCTGGTCTGACACAAAGTTACCAGTATTTCAGAGAAACTTGCTGCCTTGATCTTCAGGGTAAAACAGTAAGTTGTACAGTGTTGGGTATAGTAAAACAAGGATACAGATATAGCAAAATGTGGACAGCAAACATAGCTGCAGGCAGCCCAGTGGAAGATGGTGATTCCTGAAAGGGTGGGGCCAAGTTCAGGGGATAAACATGAAAGAAAATGTTCATACTTCACTTATAAATTTTCTTGCAGTTGTCAATGATAGCAGTACAGCTCCTGTTGAAGGAACATATCTTTCCAGTCTTACTGTCTTTCATTGTTAATTTTGATATCTTCCCCTTGTATTTTAAGGAAGGTCGCTTTGAAGATGCATTACAGAAATTCAGCACCTCTCTCCAAGTGCTTGGGTACAATCCTCATCTTTCCTACAACGTTGCTCTCTGTTACTACAGGCTGAAGGAATATGCTCCTGCGTTGAAACATATATGTAAGTTTTATAATGAGACATTATACATACACTCTTTGAATCCTACATAACAACCATTATTTAAACCACTGTCTTCTGAATTTATTTTGGATCATTCTTCATGAACTCAATCATTTTTAAAGAACAGATTTGGTTTAGAGGATGAGATGGGTGAGGTATGCAGCATGCATGGGAGCAGTGATAAATGCAAACAGAATTTTAGTCATAAAACCTAAAGGGAAGAGACAATTGTGGAGGGTATTATTAAAATTGGTTCTTAAAGAACTAGGGTGTGAGATGTGGGTTGTATCTTACCTGGCTTAGGATATGGTCCAGAGGAAGACTGTTATACTCATGGTAATGCATTTCAGGTTCCATAGAAGTCAGGGACTTCTTCATTATCTGAGTAATTATTAGTTCATCAACAGAATTTATTATAATATGTTTGATCCATTTTCTTTTACAAATATAAGTAAATCATATGATAGTCCTTCATGGGGTACCCCATACAAATTGTGGACTTGCTTGCTCATTTACAGACATGAGACTAGATTTTAATGCAACAATAACTTTTTAGTCTTCATGTACACAATCTAAAATTCAAATATCAGTGAATGCTGAAGTGCACCTTAGTCACTGCAGTTTTTATATATGTATGTGTTTTAATCATGAATTCCTGTGAATTAAACAAATTTATTCTACATCTGGTTAATTATCATTGTTTCCCTGGTCTAGCATCTGAAGTGTAGAATCATGAACTATAGAAACATATGAAGCTAGTGCATGTAATTCTTTTCTGTTCTTGGTAAACATTTTCTGATACAAGGAATAAACAAATTGAACTGTATATTATAGAAAAAGTATGTAAAATAAATATACTTCTAGCAGGAACAGAATTATATTTTAGTTGCTATTGGTATTAGAGAAAAGAAAGAAGCATTTATTTCTGGTACTGAGAATTTATGTTCCCTCATTCTTACAGGTGCTTGTATCTCCAATTACATTTTAGCTATATTTTCTTCTTATGTCCTTTGTTATGATATATACTGATAACTGGAGATACAACACACAATAATAATATGAATGAATGAATGAATCTGCAGAAATTCTTACAGTTTTATAATGATGATATATAAGCAGTTATTTGAAAATTTAATATTTTAGCTGACATAATTGAACGTGGGATCCGTGAACACCCTGAGCTTAGTGTAGGCATGACAACTGAAGGTATTGAAATGAGGAGTGTTGGTAACACCCTCACATTGCACGAAACTGCGCTTATTGAAGCCTTCAACCTCAGAGCAGCCATTGAATATCATCTAAAAAACTGTAAGTAGCAACCTAAATTTTAAAGTTATTTGATGATGATGTGACACAACATTTAAGACTTTTATTTTGGGGGGGGGGCTACAATGTAAACACCTACTATGCATAATAGATGGCTTTAACTGCAGTTGAATCAGCCAGAGAAGCACTTACAGACATGCCACCTCGCTCAGAAGAAGAATTGGATGCTGTCACACTTCATAATCAAGCACTGATGAACATGGAAACCAAACCAACCGAAGGTTTTGAGAAACTTCAGTTTCTGCTTCAGCAGAATCCATTTCCTCCTGAGACATTTGGAAATTTACTCCTCCTCTATTGCAAATATGAATACTATGATCTGGCTGCTGACGTTCTGGCAGAGAATGCCCAACTCACTTACAAATATCTCACTCCAGTAAGTAGCTAGCCTGTATGATATACTTGTACAACATTTTAATGCATGATGCCCTTTGAGATTGTAACACAGGAATATGTTTGGGTACCCCTGTATCTTAGAAAGTGTCAATATTATGGTGTTCTATGATATGAAGGTGTGTAGCTTGGTAAATGAGTAACAGTATTTTAAAGAAATGTGTTACTTCCATCTTCAGGATCTTTTACTGTGAAGATGAAGGCAGCAGGTTCCTCAGAAATGTTGGTATATATCTACAAGTCCACATTATGTCATATCCCAGGAGGCTGTTAATCTTGACACTCACTCCTGTGAAATTCTGAAATCCTAAAACAATTTTTGCAATTTTGTATTCTCATTTTTCCTCTCTAGTGTACAGAAATCTATATCCACATCAGTTGATTGGTAATGTTAACTGTATTTAAAAATACATGCCTTGTCACTGATATACAAAACATATAAATCTCAAAATAGGAGCGTGCAAGAATGTTAGATAAATATTGCATTCCTCCACATATCATTTTTTTGGCATCTTTTCATTTCAGTACCTCTACAATTTCTTGGATGCTCTAATAACTCAACAAACATCACCTGAGGAAGCATATCGCAAGTTTGATGAAATTGCTTCAAAGCATACCGAAACACTTCGCAAGCTGACCAAACAGGTGCAGGAAGCAAGACAAAACCATGATGATGAATCTGTAAAGAGAGCTGTAGGTGAATATGAAGATGCTTTAGAAAGGTATGGGTATAAATGAGTGAATTTAATGTATATCATAAACTTACCAGAACAGTATCTTGTAATGGTGTGTTACTAGTTCGTACATAATCCTGACCACTTTATACAATTTAAAGATCTTTATATTCCTCACTATTGCTGGTCATGTGCAGAATCCCAAGTTATCACCTATAATCCTGTTAACAATAATTAATATCCCATTTATTTGCTTCTTTCATTTTGCGCCTGTTCTTGGTGTCCTTCAGCCAATATATCAGTTTACCTGCACTTTTCTTCTCCTCAGAATCTTTCTGTGTAGAATAGAATTTTGATTTTACTTNTCCAAGTTATCACCTATAATCCTGTTAACAATAATTAATGTCCCATTTATTTGCTTCTGTCATTGTGCTCCTGTTCTTGGTGTCCTTCAGCCAATATATCAGTTTACCTTGCACTTTTCTCCTCAGAATCTTTCTGTGTAGAATAGAATTTTGATTTTACTTACTCTGTAAAATATTCAAATGAAAATTTGTTCAGAGATACAGTGTGTGTGTGTGTGTGTGTGTGTGTGTGTTTTCTGAAAAGGCTATGAAAGAAGTGTTGTTCTTGTAAAAAATAAATTATTATAATTAATGGATTAAACATAACCATACATGTATGATAATATTTATTATAGTATTATTAGATCTTCAATTACATTATGACTGTGTAACTGCATATAACCTAAATATGAATGAGATTATTTTTCTTTTGATTTCAGATTTTGGTGTATAATAAAGTAAAATATTTATAATTTCATATGTTGTTTCTTTCAGGTATATTCCGGTACTGATGGCACAGGCTAAAATATACTGGGACATGGAGAACTATGCACAAGTAGAGAAGATTTTCCGCAAGTCTGTGGAATTCTGCAATGAGAATGACATATGGAAGCTAAATGTTGCTCATGTACTCTTTATGCAGGAAAATAAATTCAAAGAAGCTACAGGTTTCTATGAGCCAATTGTTAAAAAGCATTATGATAATGTAAGTAAATAATGTGGTGAAACATCTTGTGTCTAATTTTGTTCTTAGAACTGGCGTTCTTTTAAATATTCTATTTCTCTCTTTCCTTTTGGTTTCCTAAAAACTTCAGTGATATGAATTTTGTTCCAGATTGTGAATGTGAGTGCAATTGTTCTTGCAAATCTATGTGTTTCATATATCATGACCTCACAAAATGAAGAAGCAGAAGAGATGATGAGGAAGATTGAAAAGGAAGAGGAACAGTTGGCATATGATGATCCAGACAAAAAAGTGTTTCACTTATGCATTGTAAATCTTGTAATTGGGTAAGCCTTCCATCAGAATATGAAAAATTATTCTGTGGGTATCTAAATACAGATTACTGATGAATGAATCTAAATATATATGATCAATTAATCAAACAGGTTTCACAATATAGTTAGAAATTTTTTTACAATGGTTAAGGCACTGATTTGAATCAGTGTCAGCAACTGACTGTTCTGAGATTATTTTTATAGTCCTTTTTTGTCCTTCTGTTAATTTCTGGGACAGTTTGCCAGAGTACACCATGATTGGTTCCTTCTGTATCTCTCCCTGTTCACCATATATGATCATAATGTTATTATTCAGTAAATGTTGACACTCTAAAGCACATAAATAGAATAACAAAAATTGTGCAATGTTAGAAATTTAAAAATAATAGTAAGGAAGAGTAATACAGCTTTAGAGGTTATAAAAGGTTCACTGACTAAATAGAACTCTGGGAATAAATTAAAAAGTAGAGGAACTTCATTAACGTTTCTGTGTTTGTAGTATTCCTTAAAAGTTTCATTTCTGAAGTTTTACCCACATTGTATTTGCAGCTAAAGAAATCCTTGCAGTGCAGATGTATTTGGAAGATGTGTCTGAACATACCCATGCGTACTGCTGCCAGTTTTGTGCAGGTTATTAATAACTGGTTAATTACGTTTATTGTTTCAGAACATTATACTGTGCAAAGGGGAATTATGAATTTGGAATCTCACGTGTTATAAAAAGTTTGGAGCCATACAACAAGAAACTGGGTACTGATACATGGTACGTTATTTTTTCCTTTAATGCTATCATAGAGCACCAGTAAAATTCCTGTTGAAAATTTGATGGGAACATCTGACAGTTCCCATCTCTAGCTACAGTTTCCATAGGTAACCCTTCCATTGATCATATGTTTCAACAAGAAACTGGATACTGATATAGGGCACATTATTTTTTTCTTTAGTGCTATTTTGCAGTTCCAGTAAAATTCCTGCTGAAAATTTGATGGGTACATCTGACAGTTCCCATCTCTAGCTACAGTTTCCATAGGTAACCCTTCCATTGATCATCTGTTTCAACAAGAAACAGGGTACTGATATATGGCACATTATTTTTTTCTTTAACGCTATTTTGCAGTTCCAGTAAAATTCCTGCTGAAAATTTGATGGGTACATCTGACAGTTCCCATCTCTAGCTACAGTTTCCATAGGTAACCCTTCCATTGATCATCTGTTATAAATTGCAGTTCTTGAGGGATACTTTAAAATCACAGTTTCACTGAATGTGTGTTTTATGTAACTTTTATCGGCAAAGGTCAAGACTGCAGTACCAACTGAAGCACAGGTAATTTTCACTGTCATTTATTGTGGCAATCTTCTTGCCTTGTTTTAATTATTCTTGACGATAACATGTATAACACTCACTAATACAGTCGATCATAGACCACATCATACTATAAGCATTAATACTGAAATTTCCCTTCTTATATATGAATCAAGTTTTGTGTCCTACTGAGTGTTTTAGGATTAAGAAACTGAAGTGAAAGAAAGGGTTTTATGGATACCTTATACTCCAAAATGGGAGCAACAGTAAAGAGAGAGAGAGATGGCATGTCTGACATAAATTGAGAGTAAAAGATCGTGAAATTTATCTTGCAAACATAATAAATATATATTTACTGTTATTCATGATTTTTACCAAGTTTCAAATTTACAAAATTTTAATTTTATTACATTTCTTTAGGCATGTAATATATTGTGTCACATGTGGCTAATAATGTTAACATACAGAAGTAAATACAAGTTTATTTACTGTGCTAAAATTATTTTTTAGGTTCTATGCAAAGAGATGTTTCCTCTCACTTATTGAAAATCTAGCAAAACACATGATCGTAGCAAGGGATTCAGTTTTTCAAGAGTGTATTCAATTTCTAGAACACTGTGAAGGTATGTATTGCTCATTTTGCTTACTCTTCTAGCAGCATTTGTATTTTATAAGTACTGTTGGAACAGTCTTCATTCTCTTCTTTCTTCCTACAGTTTTTTTTTGCCAGCTGTGTCCCCTCTTCTTGACATCTTCTAGTACCTGGATAAACTATCTTGTTCTGTGTCATCCCATAGATATTCTTTCATTAGATTTTAATTCTAATGCCCTTTATGGTATCATTGCAGTATCTGTCACTTTTATGTGTACAAATAATTGCTTCTCTTCTAACTCTGTTGAATTCTTAATTCCATCTACTCTAAAACTTTCATTTATAACTCCTGTCTCTTCTTTAGTATCCCCCCCCCCTTAAAATCATAACTATTATATGAATTTTTCTTATGTTTCTCTTGGTAAGTGTCCATGTTTTGGTGTTTTATGTTAGTATTAGTTTCAGATTAAAGAATGAAAACAACTGTGGTTTTATTTTCATATTTTAAACAAGGACATTCTGCCGGTCACAGTAGCCGAGCAGTCTAAGGCATGTACTGTCTTCGCTCGCTTGGAAACCAGGATCGTGGATTTGAATCCCACTCAGGGCATGGATGTTTAGTTTGTGTGTGTGTGCGTTTTTCTGTGTTTGTGTACAGGTAGAGGCCTTGCGATGAGCTAACCACCCGCCCAAGGAGTCCTACCGTATGTCTTAAGATCTAGAAAAACCGAACATAGAAGTTCATGGAGGTAGGCCTAGGCCCACTGGGGCTGTAGTGCCAAGGAAAAAAAAAAGGGACATTCTTCTTGTATTATTTTACTTGTTACCAATATCCTTGCAGTCCTTGTATTGTAATAGCCTTTGCAATAAGAGGTTAGTGTATTTTTCTACAAACAAGTTATACAATTCCAGTGTATGGTAAAGATGTGAAGACTGTTATTGAACAGCCCCTTCAAGAGTCTCATCTCCATCAGGGCAAGAATACAGTGACATATGAGGCCAGACTTCTCAAGGCTTTGTTGTTACGCTTGCAGACGTACTAATGTTAATTCTATATAATGAGGTACCATGTGTATTATACTGAGTAACAGTAGAATTATGCTAAACAGTGTAGTTTTATATTTTAATAGATTCACTACAAAGCACTTAAATTCCAGTTTAAAACCTGTTATCCAAGCACATATAGCCAAGTAGTTTTCATTTAAAAACAGTAATGCTTGTGAAGATTTCTGTCTCCTGTAATACAATGCTGTATAGTCTGGTGAAAGTCAGCCAAGGTTTCGGAGGAGCATGTAACCTTCATCTTCAGGGTTATAGAGAAAGCCAAGCAAGTAGAGGTCCTCTTGCTGTTTGCTTCATGCTGGCTTCTTGCTCTGCTTTCTCTTTAACCATGAAGGTGGAGGTGACATGTTCATCCAATATATTGGTTGACTTTCACTGGATTACCTGGCGATATATCTCAGGAGAGAGAACTCTTCATAACTACAGTTGTGAGAACCCCATATCTTAAATAATGCTTGTATCAGTACTTAGTTAAATGTCTACGAGTAAGTTGTATGCTCCGATGGTTTTGTGGAAATTGTGTCACGTGTGTCTGAGAAAGACTCAGCTTAGATTTAGTGTGGAACCGTGGAGCATAGTGTTGATGATGACAGTAAATTTAATTGTATCAATAGTTACTGGAACAATGTTTGTATATAAGTTGTAATATCTTTATGACGTTGTCCTCTGGATTGATTTTATAGTAACTTGGGCTTTGACATGTTCTATATCTGGAGGCGCCATCACCAAATGTAGATCTGATGAACAAAAATAAATTGAATTGGAAAAAAAAAAGATGGTCCAAAACATCTTCATGACTGAGAGAGAATGTTCACATAAGTGACATTTTCCAATATCATAATTGAATGTGTTAATCAAATGTGAAAAGAATACTAATTGAAATGTGTTTTAAATACAAAGTAAAACTGTTGTGTTCATGGATGATGGTACAAATCCGTATTTAAACTTATCCACAGGACTGTGAGAAACATATCTGCTGTGAAAACTTAGTTAGCTGCACCATATCATAATGACATAGCATGCTTTGTATGCATCAGCGAAGTGTGTAAGTGAATTAGTAGAAGTGTATTATAATAAATACTTTAATTGAAAAATTTTAATTGTCACTGAGTGGATCAAACTATCTGTTGACACTATTATGATATTCAGTCCTTGCTGAACATAGGGGTTCTATTCCCAGAAAACACCATGCTTAGAAAAATCATGTCAGAAAACATAAAACATCTATGGAAAAATCAGATTTGGTAAACTTGAAAAAGAAGTTACCTAAAATTTGTTCATAATAAAAGTAATTAACTTCATGTCATTATCACAGAAATATATTATAACTAATAATATGGATAGAAAATTCAGTTACCTATTCTTCAGTGGAAAATGTTTGGAGTTGCTGCAGTAGATGTAATTTACTGGAAAAGCAGAATTTCACACAAAGAAAAGTGCTTGATGTGGCTTGTCAGTTTGAAGCTTCTTGACCATACTGTCTGAAGCCAGCATCAACCATCACATTTAACCCTTTCCTGCTTTTTCTCATACAAGTCCATTGTCAGAGGCCTTTTGCCACCAACTTCACAAATTAGTTGCTTTCCCCTTTATTTTTGGCCCAAGATTGTTGGTTCATTAAATACTGTAATTTTTGTTCCAGAGTCAGTAGCAATTTTAATTTAGATGCAAATTTCAGATTTTATGCACTGTACCATACTTTTAATAAACACTGCAATGCCTTCTTTACATTCACAAATGTGTTCTCTTTCCATTCCAGACTTCTTGGAATGAATTAACAAAATTCTGTCAAAAGCTGTGATTAAATGTACAGTATTCCAAAATGTAAAATATTTATGCATGTAAATATGTTTGGATCTCTGCAGATATTCTCATTGGTAATTTGTTCCTACAAATTTGTGCAAATATACTATAGTTTTGTCAAATCTCACAATAAGTACATGTCAGGTGTATAACAGATAGATTTGGCTTGAGAGGCTTTTACAAAAAGAAAGTCCTATATGCCAGTATAGTGGTCAGTTTAATCCTTTTACTGTTATGGATGAAATAGTTTCAATATGCAGGGAAATATGCTGTGTCCTTTGAACATGGCTCTTCAACCAAATATGTAAAATTTTTGCAGTGCTCTTCATTCACTTTCATTGTTATCAGTTCCATTAAGTAATGTAATTAAGTAACATGATTAGTCCTGTATATTTTTTGTTGAAAAATTAATACATTATTTTTCTGTATTTCTTTATTTACACTGTTCACCATTTTTTTTTATTGCTAATGGGGTGGGACTAAGTCCCTTGTACTGCAGCCACTTCTGGCCTGTTGTACCAGCCCTAGATGATAGGTGAGGGTGATTGTGGAGCAATTGGTGGAATGAAGATTGGCAGGGGAAACCGAGGTACTCGGAGAAAACCTGCCCCAGCGCCACTTTGTCCACCACAGATCCCACTTTACCAGACCTGGGATCAAACCTGGAGCGCTGTGGTGGGAAGCCAGCGACTAACCGCTTGAGCTATGGCGTGGCCCTCACTGTTCACCATAGTCATATGATAGTAATATTTTATCTTGGGAAAATATAACTTACACATTGAATCATATTACTTATATTAGCTTAACTCATTCAGTACATTTATTTTATAGTTTTATTTTTGCTATAACACATTAATTATTTCCATATCATAGCTAATGTTGCTCAGTTCACTGCATTAATATCAATTAGTATTAAATTTTTTGCAGTAGTCCATTTTATTATATCTCTAATCCCTCCATACTGTAAATATGTATAATAGAAGAAGGAAAAATCAAATGAAAACTCATAATCTCTTCCATTTACTCAGTAATATTTTTAGAAATTCTTCTGAAAAATAAAATCCACAGCAAAAAATCGAATACAAGACATTAACAAGCCAGGATATATATCTGAATCTTGGTCAGAGCACGAGATATCCTAATTGAAGATTTAACGTCTTTCCGTAGTCATTCTAAGCAAACAGAGAAAAAAATTTAAAAAAGCCCCCCCCCCCAGAAAAATCATATAATTTTTTGACATTAAAGAACCTTTGTAGCTGAGACAGTATCATGAAATAATCTGCAAACTACTTTTAAGATTTGTCCTGTAAATAAGCCAGGTGTAACACTAATCCTCTGAAGCACTTCATAAAAATATGTATTTGTTTCACAGGCTGGAATTTGCTAAACTATTCAAAATAATTTAAGTGCATATAGTAAATGTGTGTGCATGTAAATATATGAATATAATTTATCATTAAGTAGTTAAGTAGTCATTATAAATGAAATGTTGATTCACTCAGCAGATGAATTACATTATATATGATATTTGTTGTTATTTATGATCTTGATATCTGTATTGATTGCTGAATTGCAAATAAAATTTGAAGGGTATTATTTAAGGTAAAATGTCAGAACATTTCAGCTGTTCTGGAATTTTATAATTTGTTTTTTTTTATGCATTTTAATATCTCCCTACCATCTTTACCTTGGTATCCTAAATATGTGCTTCCCAAAGGCCTATGATCTACCAGACAACACAACATCACAGATGTATAGTCCACAAAGACAAAGCCTGATTTCATTTCATCTAACAAAGGGCAGACACCTCCTGTTATCAGTGGAGATGCTGTGACTGTAAGTGTCATCACAGTGAACACACTACAAGCTTAAAATATGATCATGATTTCAAAATTGGACTGGACACCAAGACAGGCAGACTGACTGACTGTCAACCGTTATGTGACTTGAAGTATCTGGTCAGGGCTACTGAACACCTCTGCGTGGTGCAATGGCAGAATGATGATTAGCAGGGGAAAACCAAACAAACTAAGAGAAACCCCTCCAGTACTACTTCACCCTCCAAGAATCTTACATGAAGTTTGAAAGTTCCTGATCATGGATAGGCACCAGGATACAAATTTGACAATATTGTTAGGTGAATATTCCACTAGAAGTCCAGAAATAATTAGAAATCGGCCCCACTCAGTGAAACCATTTAAAAATCTCATATATTATGTGGCATTTGAGGTTATTGTAGCAGTGGTTATGGGGAGTTCTGTCTCAGATGTAACACCATGTGAAAGTTAACAGACTACTACTAGAACTCTTCATGTTACACTGGTTCCCGCTAATGATTAAGGCACCTATACTATGGTTTGGACATGATGGTGGGTGAACACGTGTTTGTCACAAAAGAGGAGTATTCAATTATGGAAGGCTCAAAGGAAAATAAGTGATACAAACAGTGAACTGTCACTAATGCTGATTTAAGTTTAATCACATGACAATCACTACTACAGAAAAACTAATGATGACCCACCTTCATGTTTGACTCTTAGGATAGATAACTGTAACTACACATGATAATGTTGTTATAAGGATGTATGTCATCTGAATTTGAATGACTTCTTTTCAATCAAAGACCTCCACAGAAACAATTTTAGTAGTTCTTGATGGTGATGAAAACACCTAGATCCACAATTTTTAATAGTATCGTGTATTTACAAATGCATTTTGTGGTTTGTTTTATGATGCTGTTAGTGTCCAGATGAGAGATTCTTGAGTGTAGCCACGAGCTGTTTCATACATAATAATAATTAAGATTACAGTAAGGGAGGAACATAGACTGAGGGTGTTGAGGAGAATATTTGGACCAAAGAGAGATGAAGTGACAGGAGGTTGGAGAAAACTGCATAATGAGGAGCTTCATAACTTGTACTCTTCTCTAAGTATAATTATAATGATCAAGTCAAGGAGGATGAGATGGGCAGGGCGTGTAGCACGAATGGGGGCGAAGAGGAATGCTTATAGGATATTGGTGGGAAAGCCACATGGAAAGAGACCACTGGGAAGATCAAGACATAGGTGGGCAGACAATATTAAAATGAATCTTAGAGAGAGAGAGAGAATGGGATGGTATGGATTGGATTGATCTGGCTCACGATAGGTACCAGTGGAACATGGTAATGAACTATCGGGTTCCATAAAATGCTGGGAAGCTCTTGAGTAGCTGCGCAAGTGGCGGCCTTTCAAGAAGGGCTCAGCTCCATGAGTGAGTGAGAGTAAATAAGAAAGATTTTTTTAAAAGATATTTCTTCCAATAGTAGGACGAATTTTCTCCACAACTTACCTTCTGTGAACTCACTATTTTTGCGCGGGTTCTGTGGGACCCAACTACAACCGTGCACCTCGCTTTATTGG